ACATCAAAAAAATAAAATAATAAAATCTAATGAGAATCACAGACTTTCAGAACCCAATGCTACAAAATTAGGCAATTTGTGAATACGACTCTTCCAGTAACACTTTGCCAGTCACAAATGGTTTTAATCTCTTTGATCACAAATAAGTATGTCACTCTTGCCAGTCATGATTTACAGAAAATACAACAGAATTATTCTGAGAAAGTGGTCATTATTTAAAACTAGCAGCATGTCGGCTGAGATAGCTCAGCTGTTATCAATGCACATTTTAATTAAAGAACAGAAGATGTCATTAGAAAATTAACAATATGTATATAGTATTAAAGTAGAGATGCAGTTTACCCGACAGGTATTTTAATTAGTTAATTAGGAAACCAAGATGACCTCCCTTGTCCACAAAACTATATATATATTTTCGGAAAGCTTATTTGTATGAATTTTAAAATTTTGCTATTTTTTTTGTATGAACACTTGAATTTGAAATATGCACAAAAATGTGCTTTTTTGGTCAAAAGTGACACTGTTCAACTAAAAACAATGCCCCAATGGCGCTTTGAAGATAAACACATTGTCCATCATTTGTGAAAATTTCAAAACAAAAGGTAAAAGCATCGAGGAGCTATTTTTTTTTTTTTTAAAGTTCTGGAATGTGCATTATAAGCCGAGATAATTGCTAATTTGCATAACAATTCACCCAGTAAGAAGTTTGCTAATGCTCATAATTAAAATGGCTGTAACAGTTTCAAATTTAAATGTATTATCATTTTGTTAAAAGTTAAATATTGTGCATAATATGGAGATCCCGTCATTTCTTTTTTTCACCATGTTTTTTTTTATTATTTATGTACAGCCTTGCTGAATCTTGCTAAGCATTTCAAAGAGAGAATGTTTGCGCCTGTTATCTATATTTTAAAATCGTTTTTTGAGTATGTTCCACTATTCTACCAAATTTTAAGTCCATAGCCAAGACTGTTTAGATAATAAAAAGCAAAAAAAAAATTTCACTCCCAAGCGCCCATGAACCTGCATCTCTACCTTAAAGCACAGTCCCTCCATAACCGGTTATGAAACGCTTTTGTCAAAAGGTGTGAACGAGCTTAGATCAAGAAACAATGCGTGTTTCAGCCTTACAGCTGAAGTGATGACGTCATAGTTTACGCTGAAGCGCTCACACTGAGGTCGGTCGTGTCGGAGAAATCAACGTAGTGTAATAGTTTCTTCAAATATATTTCGTAATTGACGCTAATATTTGAGTTTATTTAGTTGTCAGGAACATCTTGAGTGAATATTAGGTTGTGTATGACGTTTTTATTCAAGGTATCAAATGATTTGTGACTGGGAACTTTGGGGGCAGTTTTAGAATCGGTCATTGCATTTGTGTTATGACGATGTCGGTAGTTTTGACCCAAATTGTTGACACTTTATCGAATATATGATAATTTTTCAATTATCTTAAAATTGAATATGATTTTACCAGGTTAATTCAGTTTATTGCGTTATAGGACATATATTAAAATTGAAATCGTTTATTTCGCAACTCGTTTGTTTTTTTGTGTGTAAAAGAAAATGGCTGCCACTCGGTTAGATGGGTTTCATTTTTGAAAACATCGTGATTTCGTCGCTGATTATATACATATGTTCATCAATACTTACTGATAGACAGTAATGCTAGTTTTCTGTTCACATTTATTCTTATTTTGTGTATATTGTTTCCTGAAACGACAGCGATTTTGTATTGTCGCCTGTCATTGCTTCGTTCACTGTTGGCTCGTAATTTAA